CATTATGAAGAGTCTGCACACAAACGAATGATCCCTAACACTTCAAAGCACTCATCATGGGCCAGGTACTGTCCAGAGTGTTTTACACATATTATTTGATCTAACCCTCAAAGCCATTCTATTGTTACCTCTACTTTAGACTGTGGAAAATGTGGGTTTGCTTTCATTCCATGCTCTTGAGCAACAGCTGGCACAACATGGGGCCAGGACCAGAAATTAGACAGTGACCACCAGATGCTGCTCTGTCACTACACTTTTCTCCTCTCAGGGTTGTCTGATAATGCAGAGTATAGAGGTTATTTAATAATTAATACTCACATTTAACCCGTCTTTCCTCTCTATTGCACAAAGCACTTATTTATGTGTGATCTCATGTTGTGCTCCTTTCTTTGTGCAGAACTCAAAGAGATGCATGATTGAACACACAATCCTTACCAGAGAATTTTAGCCAGGGTGGTCAGTCCACTGGTTTATACCTTCATGAAGTTTCTGTCATTAAGATGGTTTCTTTAGCTGTATGCTTTATTTTACACATTACAAATGGTGGCTATATATATCAAAAGATGGTTTGTAAGTTGTTAACACATAATTAAAATAGAATATTCAGCCATCCTTATTAGTGGAATAGTAATTTATTATATTCGTTATTAGAGAATTTTAGACAAATATATTGGTGGGGAAAGGGCAAGAACAACCAACCAAAATATCAACTCTTCTAGATTTCATGGTGAACATTTATTTTTACCTGGTGGGAGAAGGAAGAAACATATGAGCAAGATTCATAACCACTGGGGGTAAGAGCTATTTTTCATTGCTTCCTTAACGGGAGTCAGGTTTTCTACTCTCTCCACCACCCCGGCCTTTCAGGAAAGGGACAAGTTAAAGTCCATGTCAGAAAGGTTCAGAATAAAATGGAGAGGCCGTCTTCACCATATAGGAAGAGGAAGCAAATCAAAGCCCTTTCACCAACCAAGGGAATATGGGAAGGAAAAAGTAGGGTCAGGAGATCTGCTCCTAGGTCCCTGAAACCCTTTATTCTGCCTTGGGCTTTATCTCAGAGGACAGCCTGGGGGAAATAGGAATAGACTGGGGTGTAGTTGGAGGGAGGCTATAGGGAGATCCTGGTCTTGTCAAACATGGCCCCTCAGCCTTTCAAAGTGTATAATTCAGTGATTTAACAATTACAAGGTCATGCAACTATCACTACTAGTTCTGTGCTATCTAGTTCTTACCTGAAGCTTTTCTTAGCACAGTTGTGGCAGAGTGGTACAGATCATACATCTGAAAACTCCACTGATCTTTCTGTGCATTTAATTAGGGGCCTTCACCGTTCAGTCTTTTCCAATACCTCAGCTTCTGTGTGTATCCCAAACACTGGTTCTTTGGATAAAGACACAATTTAGGAAGTCTCAGTTACCTGTGATGTATTATGTCAGACTCAGGGTTCCCTAAACGCCAGTGGAAGTAGCTGGCAGGTATATTTGAAGATATATGCAGGTGTCTTTAGTGTATTCATATAGATTACAAAGTAGTGTGATCTGAGAACTTCTTTAATTACTATAGTTGCTTTGATTCATGATCAAAATCCTGATTCAACAGAAAGTCCTCGTTTCTTATCAGTGAGCTGAATAGATAAGCAAAAGATTAATGTGCACATTAGAGGCAGAAAAAAAGGATTTCACTTCCCGAAAATAGGATGATATCTTGCAAATCACTTCTTTGTTCCTATGAGGCAATGCCAGGAATCAGAAGTTCCATTAACCTCACTGCCATGAGAAGACTAGAAACCTGCTAACATGTTCTCTTAGAGAATAGGAGGGAAGGAAACCACCACAGTGAAGGGACCCATAGAAGAGGAAGGGTAGTGGGTGAGGAAACAGGGATGTGGAAACCTGGTGAACACAGAGCAGGCGCAGCTGCCAGTTTCCTAGTGTGGCGTTCTGATGTCATACGGTGGATTAGGTGCTTGTAGGAGATATTTTTTCCTTAAAAAAACAAACCCACGAAAAAAAACCCATCTCATTTTATAAGGGTGATGATGGGGTGCCTGGGTGGCTCAGTCAGTTAGTTGAGCATCGAACTCTTGGTTTCAGCTCAGGTCATGATCTTGGGGTTGTGAGATGGAGCCCCAAGTTGGATTCTGTGCTCAGTGGGGAGTCTGCTTGGGATTTTCTCTCCCTCCCCCTCTGCCCCCCCCCCTGCTGGCACTCTTTCTCTCCAATAAATAAATAAATCTTTTTTTTAAAGCGTAATGACAGTGTAAAGGAAATCAGTACAGTTGTGATTATTTATTTATGAAATATTTTATTCATTTATCTGAGAGAAAGAGTATGCACAAGCAGGGGGGAGGGGCAGAAGGAGAAGCAGGCTCCCCACTGAACAGGGAGCCCAATGTGGGATTCTATTGCAGGACCCTGGGATCATGACCTGAGCAGAAGGCAGACACTTAACCAACTGAGCCACCCAGGTGTCCCTGTTGTGATTATTTAAAAATAATCTTAACGTTCAGTCATTCAAAGTAATGTTGAAGGAACCAGATTTGAAAAAGTCAGTGACCCTATACTTTGTAGTACAAGTTTATGGCCTTTTTTTTTTTTTTAAAGATTTTATTTATTTATTTATAGACACAGAGGGAGAGAGGCAGAGACACAGGGAGAGGGAGAAGCAGGCTCCATGCAGGGAGCCCGATGTGGGACTCGATTCCGGGTCTCCAGGATCCCACCCCAGGCTGCAGGCGGCGCCAAACCACTGCGCCACCAGGGCTGCCCAAGTTTATGGCCTTTTTCAGGAGTAGGTTTGTGAAAGTAAGTTTCTGAGATTTGGAGGTACACCCACACAGCATCTAAACTATAGATGTTTCACACGAAGTTAAGGTTCAGGAGGTATGTAGGTACCACCAGGAGGCAGTATTAGGGTTCCCAAGGAAATCAGGTGAAGACCAAGTGCTTTCAAGAACTCTGGAGGAATTTCCAATTACACTTGACTGAAGACATACTGCTCTGACAAAGGTGAATTGTCATCCCCAATAGACGAAAGCTAAGAAATTCTCAAGAGACACAGGATATTCTCTCATAAAAATCTTTTATTGGCACACTGGAAATACCCATTTTTTCTAGTATAGTAGCTGTATGCATCTACAATGGCAATTCTGTGTAAACTATGTGTTACAAGTCACTAGAAATCTACTTAGCAGGATGAATTTAATAAAGAATAAGAGTAGCTATGAGTCTACAGCGGCCCAGCCATCGAGTCTCATCAGAGAGTAAATCAAATATCAAACTAGTGTTGTCCTGCAACAGAGTTTTTCTGTAGCCAAGAAACCAGATGGACATAAACAGGATAGCACCCATTCAATAAATTAGGTACACTTAAACTAGAAAAACACTGTAACTGATAGAAATGATCTAAATAAAGCACAAAAGGAAATAACTAGCTATTTACATATATTACTTCTTGCCAAAACTTTAGTTGGTTAGCTTTCCCAACCTACCTCTTCTCTTTTCTGTTATTCTTGTTTGTTCACGTGTAATTTCTTGGCTCACTGGCAGATATGTAGACAATGTTATCAGAACCTCTTTCCATGTTCTACATTTTCTAAAGCTTCATGTCAAACTAAAGAATCTGAAGGTACCTATGTAAGTCTATCTCTATAGAGAAGTAATAAGGATTATTGTTCTGCTATTGGTCATAGCAATGACATACAATTTCATTTTCTTCCAAACATGATTTGAACTACTCCAGAAAGTTAGGTTGTGAATGGCAGCAGAGTTGATGGGTTTGTCATTTGTAACAGGCACAGATACACATGGAGACAAGTGTGTTTATCCTGAGAATGGGGATGCCGTGGACTGCAAATTAAGATCCCCCATTACTGAAAATGGGTTCTCTCTCTGGTCACTACTTTTTTTTTCACATTTATTGTTAAGGCTTTGTGTCATTGCAGCATTAACAAATAAGAATGCCGACATCATTTCTGCCAAAGGAGGGCTCTGTGATGAATGGCAGCAGGTACCATAATTAAAATAGTGTAGCTGAAAAGGCATTGAGTTGGTATGTTTCTGGTGCCATGGCCAGAATGGGTAGATTTTTAGCATCTTCCTTGGAGATCTGAGAGATCTTGCCAATGAGCCTCTTTGCCCCATGTTTATTTCCTTTACTAGTACCTATGACAATTGTAATTGTATTATTTTTGGTTTGCTCTCCTATGAGAATATAACCTCCAGAAGGGCAGTAACCACACCTGTGTTCACCACTGTGTCTCCAATGTTTAGAACAGTGCCTGGTCCTTAGTAGGTTCTCAGTTAAAAACGTAGATTAAATAAATGAACCAAATCATAAATCCCCTGGTCTGCCTATGTCTAGAGACTTTCTAGTTTGATTCAATGACCAGGGTTGGCCTGTCCCAATGACCCAGCTATCCTAATGATCCTACCTGCTGTGAACCTTTGTGTAGCCATGTGGCTGATATTTTTGTGCTTCACAGGATAGTAAAACTTCTCAATGCTGCATTCACTCTGCCCACCTCTCAAAGATTAGCTATGCAGGGCTAGCACTGCATGAGAGGTAACAGCAAGAAACTTCTAGGAGGTAAACTGCAAGCTCCAGATTCACCTGATTCTTCCCCACCTCTCTCTACAACCTCTTTGTCAGAGAGCTTAAGAAAAAGGTTATCGGGAGAATATTTTCTTGGCAGTAACAGTTCAGTAAGCCACCAATAACGCGATCAGAAAAGAAACAAAATATAACTCACCTACAAAAAAAAAAAAAAAACTATGTAAAATAAAAGCAAAATCTGGGAGTGGAAACCAAGTGCCACGGTGGGCCGTCTGGGTCCTTTCTTGGTGAGAGTTGCCGGACTCGGAAGTGAACGCAGGCATCAGAGCAGGAGAGAGGTTGGAAAGGAAGGGGCAGAGCAGAGCTGAGGGGCATGAAGACGTGGGACCAGCTTTCCTCTCCTCCTCGCCCTCTGCTTCCAGCTCTCCGGCACCCCGCATCCCACCGAATGCTGGCTGAGCTCCTGCGTCGCTCTCGGGCGGAGGTAAGAATGGGCAGCTGGCGCCTCCACAGCCCATCCTTAGGCTATTGATGCTCTGCTGGAGTAGAAGTCAGGGACCGGGAGCCCAGTGTGAAGCGTGACCTGGGGGACGAGACTGTGAGTCCTGGAGGCACGCGGGAACCCTCCCTGCACGCCCCTCCCCAGGCCACAGTGGATGTGTCCCTAATTCAACAGGGGGCCTGTTCATGTTCTTTAACGTCTATTCTAGTAGACGTTAAAGAGAATTCCAGTAGAATTCAGCCTGTGCTAAGAGCCTGGCCACCGGTGGTGGGTTCCCAAATCCTGGAGACACCTGTTAATATGGTTCTCATCCACCTGCCTCTTTTAAGGGTCCTGGGAAGGCTGCGTTCCTTGTGACTGAAGACACGGGCAGTGATCTGCAGGTAGCAAAGCCTGTTGGCCCGGGCGCAGTGACACTGCCAAATCCATGGGTAGAGAACCGGCGAGCGGATAACCCTTCTCTCATCACTTGTCCACTAGTTACTCCAATTAGGATGAGCCTTCCGTTGGGGGGAAGAATAGGTGGTTGCCAGGTTTAAGAAACATGGGCACTTGTACTGTTCTCCTTGCTCCTATGTGGCCTGGCACCTCCTCGGTGGACAGCTGTGAGGACGAGGCTGGAACTGTCTCCTGCGGGACTATGGTTACTGTCATTCTTCCCCTTCTTGTCCCTGTCTCCCCAGCCCAAGGATCTTTCTCTAAAGATACTCAGGACATCCTGGAAAACACTGAAGAGCACCGAGTACAAGATTCTTTGGAAGGGGAACTAGCTGAAAAATGTGGAAGACTTTGAAGGAGGTTTTTCTAAGACTCACGTCTAGGGCAATTTATGGTTTCCTTTCTTCCAATGTAGAGGCTGAACTCTGAGAGATTAGATTTCAGCCTCCCAGAAAACCCCATCTAGTTGCAGGAAGAGAGAAGGGCAGAGGTCACTGGGTTGCAATCACTTTTACTGCACACACTGATAAACATTTTTTTTGTTTTGTTTTGTTTTGTTTTGATAGCTCCCAAGACTGTGGTTCTGAACAGAGCAAAAATCACCTGCAGGCTTTTGATTCCCACGGCCTAGCTGTCTGCCGGATGAGGTGAACAGCTGATAATGAGAGCTCTGGCTGAGAAGGGCAGGGGAAGCTTGGCTTAGCAGTGCCTGCCAGGCACCCCACGACTCTGATCTGTACCCCCATCCTGGCCTCTTGGCCCCTTTTTGCTCTCAGGAGGCTCCTTATGCATTAGAAACTTTGTGCTGGTTGCCCCCTCTGCCTGGAACGCTCCACACAGCTCACCTGTGACTGGAGTAAGGCCCACCCACCCTGAGGAGCCCCACTGAGACTGCAGCTGCCTTCCCCACCCCAGCATTCTCAACCCTCCTCGCCCTGCCCTTGGCCTCGTCTCCTTTGCACATATTGTCTTCTAACTATGTCATTAACACCACCATTGTGCTTATTATTGATTCTATCTGTAACAAGGGCACGATTTTTATGTTTTGTTTTCACTGATTAACAACAATACGTATAATAATTATAATAACCGTGCCTTACGTATGAAAGCACCCAGCAGTTACTTGTTGAACGAATGCATGAGAAGAACCTGTTCGTTTGTCATTTGTAGTAAATCGTAAGTAAGTGGCCCGCAGGCGGGGACTGCTTTCTATCCCCGTGGCACCTAAGAGAACGGAGGAAGAGTGCGGAGAAGATGCTCAGGATTTTCTGATAATGATGCTAATACGTCAGTCTCATGCCTTCACCTCTCGAGCGCTCGCTCATGGAGCTTTGCATAAGTCATTTTCATCTGTTTTCGAGCCAGCTGGTTCAGGAGTTTCATTCCTACTAGGGATGAAACTCGGCCTCAGGGCCGATCAATAGCAAACCGTGGATTGAGTTCCAACTTCCCACTTGCTGTTAATTAGACTGTCCGAGCTTAACGAAGGGGCTGATGCTGATCTGGAATCATCTCGGTTGTCATCGGGGATCCCTTTGCCCTCTCCTTTCCTCCGTGTCTTGGTCTGGGCCTTACCGGGTTGGCTTCCCTCTCTCAGGGATTAATGTACCACCCGCGGGCCGCCTTTGGAGTGGAGTGGGCGGGCGCTGCCGGAACACGCGGGGGCACGGTGCTTACCTGCACGTTCCTGTTCAGGCTGACCGCCGGGAAGAACAGGCCCTCCACGTTCTCGAAGGCTATGGGACCCTGCTGTTCGTCGTTGATAAAAAATGTCAAGGTTTTCCTATTTAAGTCGAGGAGGACCCCGATTGTGGCCCCCTTGGTGATCCCTCCCTCTGTTCTGTGGGAAAAGAAAATGACTGGGTTTCACTTGTCATCAATCTAGAAGCTCCCTTTTCGGTATACAATGTACAAATCCCTCTGTACTAACCAGTGTTTCTCAGCCGGTTTAAAAATATCATCCCCCACATCCCAGGAGTCTTTTTAAATAATTTTTTTCCCTAGTCACCCCCCTCACATGAAATTTTAATGCCACAGATATTCTGGGTATCTGTTGATGTGTTGTGTGTCTATCTGTGCTCTGTAAATAAAAAATATGATTTTTTGCTTACCCCCCACACACCAATTTTTACTCTCTTGGGGGGAGATATTACCCCCTGTGAAGAATATAGATTCAATGGTGCTGCTCTGCTGTTGCTGAGAGTGAACTCCTTGCTGGAGGGTCTCTACCGCTGAGCTGCAGCAGTAGGAAACAAACCATTCAAGTCCAAGAAAAAAAAAAAGTAGGCTTTGGGCTATCAGAGCTCTGTCTACAGCTGTGTCGCACACTTTGCACAAATGGTGTGAATTAAACATCAACTCCAAAGTGACTTAATTTGAAAGTCAAAATAAAGAAGCACTTAAGCTGAATCTGAAGCATATGCATGAAAAATTGGATTTGGAGCCTTATGATACCCATTTGACAGAAAAACAAAAAACACCTTATTCCAGAAAGATGTTAATTTTGGGCATGTTGAGTTTAAATTGAGAAGGCTCTCTAAAAAAATGACAACATTGAAGATGATTCTCCTCTGCAAAATGAAACAATCATATTGTAGTAGATGGAGGAGTGATTTTAAAAGAACCTGCACTGAAATGTCATTTTAAAGCAAATTATGTCTTATGCTTCGATTGATGGTTTCGCAGAGACCATGAACATGGATGATCTGGTTTGCCTTTTCCATCCCTCTTTGAGGTCTAGTAATATTGAACTTCATCTTTATCTCAGCTGAGCACAGAAGGGTGTTATTCTTTTCCCCTGGCCTGCCGGCTGAACACAGTTGTTAAAAGACGAGTTTATAAATTGCATCTTGCTAATTCACAGCTTCAACAAGGACAGCACAGTTTGCATGCAAGCAGACATGTTCAAGTTTAAGAACATGTCTCTTTGCACAGTGTGACACTTGTGTTGTTATTTACTTCCCCAAATAATATTATTTACTTCCTCACTCCAAGATAAAGAAGCTAGAGGAGAAAAGTAAGTGTGGTACACAGGGAATGCATTAGGAATCTCGTGATTGATCATTCTCCCAAATGTAAATCACCAAAAATGACCACTTATCCACATCTAGTAGGATTTGATATCGGGCTGAAATGGTATGTATGTTTACTTTAAATGATAATAAACAATACACATCTGAATGGATCTGTATAGAAAATAAAATGTCCAAGGGAATGGGAGTTGGAGGTCCCAGGAATCCTACTGGCTAGAGAAGGAGCAGTGATGACCATCCAGAAAAAGCTGAGAGTGGAATCCACCAGCCTGCCACTGCCAGACTCGCTTTCCTTTTGATATGACTGAATAGAACTGTATTTTTTCCCCCAAAACACCAGTGAGAGTGTATCTTAGAAAAATCTTTGAGAATAAGGTGCAGGAAAATCCATGCAAGACACCTCCCTACCTACACAAACCAAATGATAAAGGAAGTCTAGGGGGAAAATTACAGCTTGGGTTAAATTATAATTGCCTGTATTTTGGTGTGAGAGGCAAACCTAGGGAGACCTCTATTCTCTTTCCCCAACAAACCGGGTGCTCTGAATTTATACAATAGTAAGAGAGTTCTACAAATTCTAAAGCTATCCAAACTGGCATTTGTAAGACTTAGTTTGATGAAGTGCTTCTATTCTGGGCAGTGATATTGATAATAATCATAACAAGAAGAAAATGGCTTCTGTTTTCAGATGCCTCTATGTGAGGCATTTTCACATATCGCATTTAATCTGGAGAACACTGTGTCTGGAAAAATATTATTATCCCAATTTGGTGGATTTTGAAAACTAAGCTGCTTTCCCAGTAAGTTGTAGGTCTGGATTTTAGGATCCTGGTATGTTTTCCTGGAATTGATATGTGTGGGGATTCTTAGTTTCTAGCCACGGTGGAATCTAACACTGAAGGGCCTAGGAAAGTGCTCATGTCTCTGGCATTATGCAACAAAAAAAAAATCAATCAATAAATCCATCAATGAACCACTGAGGAGTCAGGGAAGAGTAGTAGAACTCCTGAAGACCACCTGCCACTTATTGAAGACCACCTGCCTGGCTTCCTCAATGTTGTTTATTTAATAGGACTTTGAAATTGGGCTCTCAGTTTTCACCAGAAGCCAACGTGAAGAAGGCTTGGTTTGGGGGCTGCTGGGTACCTGTTGGTGTGCGAGTTGTTGTGCATGAACCAGCTCCGGTTATTGTCCACATACATTGCCCAAGCTTTGTCGTCCTTCCCTAACATCACATCCTTCATCACATCGATGCGAGCCACACCAAAGGCAGGGTCAGGGTGGTTGTCGTAGCGATCCACAGTTAGCTCCCAGTAGTGGACGCCCTTGGAGAAGCCGGTCTTCCCCAGCACCACCCGGTCATCATAGCTGCTGCAGGTCACAGTCAGGTTGTCATTGGAGAAGATGATGTCAGAGTGTGCCGAGCCAGGGTCGAAAGCAAACCAGGCCACTGAGAACAAGAGAAGGGAGTGGGGTTACTGAGGCAGACCCAGAGAAGGTGGTATCGCAACACACTCCTGCACGGGTGAGGAGTGTCGTGTCCCGTTTTCATGCTGCCATGCAGGAAGGAGGTGTCCGGGGCCAGAAGGGGCCGTGAGTGAGCAGACAGGGGCACATCCTGGGAGGCGGTACTCTCTGCACCCAGAAGCAGACGGAGGACACAAGACCGATTCAGCAGGGGTTACCTGACTCAGACTGCACTCCCAACCAGGTGATCCGGGAGTGAAGTGGCATCGGTTTTGGAAGGTGCAAGTCCCTTCACCCGGTGACTGGGACAACAGTACACCAGAGACATAAAGGGAGAGGGTGCGCTAAGATGCCTGTGTAACCCTGAGGCGGGGAGGCTAGGATCTACAGTCCTAGATGGAGGAGGGACAAAACACACTGAGTGAAACCAGGAAATATCCCTTCAGCAGACATGTAGTCATTCTGACAACTTGCTCAGCTCTAGCGGAAGCTCAAAGGCTGCAAAGCCATGAGTGACTGTGACTTGGAGGTAAGACAGGTTGCTTCCTTCGTACCTTAAAAATAACAGTTTGCATGTTACTCCTAACACTGACATGTAGCCGATTTTGCTGGAGCAGTAGGTATTTTGGATATTAGGTGAAGACAGAATGACATCTTTGCACACATCGTTGTGACCCAAGTCCGAAATGTCGCCTACCAAGAACACACTCCAGAGAGATGTCATTGCCGCTGTATCAAACCTGTGAGCTACCTCACATGCACTTTGGTCTTTGCTATTTGTAACAGAATAAGGTTATTCCATACCTGCTAACAGCTTTTTAATGTCAACTGTTGTCATTCCAAGTGAAAGGCATGGGAGAGAGAAACAGGAAGCAAAATTGACATCGATAAGAAAACACGTCTCTTTTGATAGACTAATAACCAAAAAAGGGCTCAATTGGTAACACTGCACATGCTATTGCGGTTGATCTGACTTGCACCTCTACCCACGTTAGCACTCGTAAAGAGTGCTCTGCATTGACGTATAAGAAAACTGGAGGGCAAGTGCCATCCTCTCTTAGGGTATAAAATTTAAAAAAAAAATGCCTTTCTAAGTATTTGGCAAAGTGTTATAATGGGCTTTTCATGACCATGAGACAATTTTATTGACACACAACAAAGTGCCTCCATTTATTTGGTGAAGGAAATTGAGCATGCCAATCACACGAGGAAAAGATGACAATCACGGTAGTTGTACTTGCCTAACTGAGTGTAAGGTGCGGACTGCGGCTCAAAACTGCATCCTATAAAGAGATACTGCACATCAAAGCTATGAAACAGCAACCAGGCGCATCAACATTATTCGTATACACTTCAAAAGCACCAGCTGAAAAGAGTCACCAGAGGCCTGATTCATGAAAAACCAAAGCCCTTTCTCTATTAGTTTACTTTGCTGGGTAAAAATGATTTCTTTTGCTCTTTCAAAATGAAAAGTATATCACCCTCCCCCATTTAATCAATCCTTCTCCAACTGATTCTAAACCATACAGCTTAAATTTCTATCAGCCTCCCCTCCCCAGCCAAGTTCAATCTTTTCCACTAAAATTTCCATATTAAAGAGAAGGCTTAACTGTTTAAAAAAATAGGAAAAATCTGGGGTTGGAGGGAAGCAAAATAAATTAAATTAAATAAAAGAGAAAAAAGAAAAACTCACCTAACTGAAAAGGAGAAATGACTGGATCTTAACAAAACCCTGTTCCATATCACTATTTCATGCTCTTCTAACTCTGTTGATAAGCAGAGGGCCTTTGTCGTGACTTGATATGTACATATGTGACTGAACATAGAATGTAACCTATATGTTAATAAAAACATCTGATAATTTTTCATAATGACATGAATTAAATGTAGCGAAACAAATTACTTCATCTCCTTCTTGGATCATTTCATTACATCAGTTCTTCTTACCTAAGGGAGGGGTGGGGGTGCTGGGGGAGATAGAATGGTCTCAGAGAGGGGTGACTGAGTGGCTTAGGGATTGAAGATCTGTCTTCAGCTCAAGTTATGATCCCGGGATCTTGGGATGGAGTCCTATATCGGGCTCCCTGCATGGAGCCTACTTCTCCCTCTGCCTATGTCTCTGCCTCTCTCTCTGTGTCTTTCATGAATAAATAAATAAAATCTTTAAAAAAAAAAGAATGGTTTCAGAGAGAAGCACCTATGGAACTTTCCCACACCCCCTTCCTCAAGATTTGGATGCCCCCTACCTACTGCATGTAGAGTGGTGTTAGGAACTGACCTGGAGAACGCATTTTTGATGACCACTAGGGTACTCTTGGGAGGGTCATTTAATTTTTTTTCAACTCAGTAAGGCCTTTATACACTAATTTCTAAAACAATCGAAGGAGAATACACTGAATTAAAAGAATTTTAAATTAATACAGCTTTGACTGTAAAAAAGGACTAATGAGGGATCCCTGGGTGGCACAGCAGTTTAGTGCCTGCCTTTGGCCCAGGGCGCGATCCTGGAGACCCGGGATTGAATCCCACGTCAGGCTCCCGGTGCATGGAGCCTACTTCTCCCTCTGCCTATGTCTCTGCCTCTCTCTCTCTCTGTGACTATCATAAATAAATAAAAATTTTAAAAAAGAGGACTAATGATTGAGTCAAAAAACAAAATTGAAAGGTATAACCTTACTTTTGGTTATTTTACTTTGGAATGAATTCACATACAAAAGAATCATTTTTTTCCCAACTCATGACTGATTTTTGTTTAGCTTCTATCACTTAAATTCCTATCCACAGGTAAAAGGACAGAATATAAGGAGCTTTAAAGCTGAATTTCATATCCAGCTTTGGAAATAAATTTAAAGAATCTGAATAGGGCTTTTACAAATTTTAAATGAATCATGCCTCGTGCAAGTCTTTTTCAAAAAAAATGTTCTGAAAACTTTTTACACTATTTAAAACATACCACCATACATTTTAAGAGTCAATGATACAACTAGAACAATGCTGTCAAATACAGCCATCACATCTTCCCAGACCCACATTTCATTTTATTCTTGAGACAGTATACATTACAAAGACTGTAACAGTATTTCAGTACATTGGACACAAGTGAAAAGAGTTCCATAACAAAGCATGTTTGAAAGCCAGTAGTGCACAGAAAAACAATAAGAAACGTAAAAGCACAAAGAAAAATGTCATTTTAAAGAGAGCTTGAAGTCCCTGCATCCTTTTTGCACTGTCATGCTGTGGCCTTCTTCATTCCAGGATGTGGGATGAGCAAAAAAAAATAAAATAAAAATCAAAAGAAATCTTTGGAAATGTGAAATGTGCATCACGTGTATCCACGATTACAATATAGTCCTGAAGAGATCAAATAGGTCTGCATCTCAGATGCTTTAGGATTCTGTGGGCTAGCAGAGTTGATTGCACAATAACGCATGTCTAGCTTCCCTGAAATCAACCTGAAGCCCTGTCACAACCTGCTTGGCTGTGGGACACTAGGGGGAAGCTAGCCTTTTTCATGACTTGGATCTTTGGGCCTTCAGCCAGTTAAGGGTTTCTAATTTGGCTAGTGATGGTCCGTCCCCTTTGCTAGGAAAAAAATCCGCCATGAGCCAGACTGTCCTACCAGTGAGCACAGGCTTTTGCAGAAAATACTTTCATTTTCAGCTCTCTGGTTTGCCTGCTTTGTAGGATGTATTCTGCTGTTGTTGTGTTTTGACTTGATTTTTTTCAATAAAGATCTCTTGAGTCTATGTTTAATCAGACCCCTATGGGCTGGATGCACTGATCCAGTCTCCCAGACATGGCTGGTTTCCTGGATACAGCAGGGTTGCAAACCTCCAAACTAAGGCCACAGCCTCCACTCAGCCAGCGCCTCTGCCGTGCTATGCCACTGCATGTGATGACAGAGCAGGTTATCCATGGTGGAGCCAGCTTGTGCAAAAAGAACAACTTCACTCGTCACTTTCCAATGCCATTATACATTGACCACAGCTCCATGGTTGGGCCTTACACCACACAAACAAGAACACCACAAAGCTCCAGCATCCAAATGCTCCTCATACTGGAAGCAGGCCACAGACATAGAGACCAGCTCACCGCCCTCTCCATGCACATATGAACGGCAAGAACAAAACAGGTATTTTGGAGATGCCATGGAGGCACAGAGAGATCAAGGGGAAAGGTCAGACGAGCTCAGCTCACCCGGTGCATTGAGAGACTGCAAAGAGGAATGCAAGCTCAGCTGGTGGGGTGAGGATCGGAAATCAAAGTAGGATCTCCCGGGGAAGCTGGGTTGTAGATTAAGGGTGGAGGAGAAAGGACTCATTCTACGGAGCGGCAATCTTTCCGAAGGCACTGGAAAAGGGAGTGTCTGTTCTTCTGAATCTGTGTCTAGATGTAAGATCAATGCAAACTAGAGATCAGAAATCTGCTATGGTTCCCCAAGACCTGCCTTACCAATGCATTTGCACAAAGCCTCACCCATCCCGCAGGTGCCACAAGGCATTTACAAAACCAAAGTGGCTTTGGGCCGGGAGGGCATTCTCAGCAGGTCAGGACTCAAACATCATGGACAAGTGCTTTCATTTGCCCCTATTTTTAGTGGTAGATAAAGTATCTTGGAAGGTTTCCTTTTCATTAAACGTTTTAGAGTTGAATTTAGAAACTCTAGAGGTAGATTTTACCCATTGATGACCAAGAGTAATACTTTACCCCCCTTCAGCTACCTTGGAATTACTACCTGTGCGACAATGGCCTATTAAAGGGTTTCTATTTAGATGATGATTTTCTTTAACCAATTCTTTGCTTTCCCATAGTTTTTCCTTTTCTCTCTTATATATATATTTCCATTTCTAAATGGACGAGATGATTTTTCTATACTAGCACACTCAATACTTGTTCTTTGAATAAAAGAAGATAGGACTGAACAAGTAATCAGATAAGGAGTCTTACCTTTGTTTCTGAATTAAGATCAGACTCCAGGGATGCCACTTGGACATCTCTGGTTCTCTAATAATAAACAGTCTGTGGGACAGTGGTGAGGTGCGTTGGTGGCAAAAATGTCTTTATTTTCAGATACTTGGGTATGGTGTGAAGATCACTAAATTACAAAAATCACTCCTTTCTGTTTTGTCAAACAATAGTTTGTTCTATGTAGTAGGGTGGTTCCAGTCAGAGATAGATGTTTTACCAATTGGGCCTTCTTAGAACACAGTGTGGACAATAATAATTTAAGAAGTATAGAGGGGAAAAAAAAAGAAGTATAGATGGCATAATATGGTAACATTCTATGTCCAAACCCGAGGAACTATCTTTTCATTACAAAAACAATTTTGTTTTAGGGGATTGTTCTTGAAGATGTTCCTGAGAATATTTTTCTGGCTTGAGTCTGTCAGCATGCTTCTCTGTGTTGAACATACCCTTGTCCTATCAAAATGCTATTGTGGGCATGTTCAAACCAAAATAACTGGAGTGTGTGTATAACATGATAATATTTGAAAAGCTCAGAACAAGGGCACTGACTTGTTTTAATACTGTCAAGAGTCAGCCGCATTTTAGTTTCTCCATTTACAATATTAAAGTTAGCTTTTCAGGCTTTAATCTTATCCTTGGAAAGGTTTTTGTTTTGTATTGCTTTTCAAGAAAATTATAAAAAGATCTCAGAGTAAAGGAACTGTTATTATGGAGTTGTATTCCCAAAAATATATATTCAAAGGTTCTTCTATCTAAACTTCATATAATTTGGGTTACATGACATAGTGGTCATTTCTTTGTTCAGAATCATAAATCAGAAATGATTCCTCTTATAATTGTCTCAAGGGGGAATTAGTCTTTTAGTTTAATGGAAAATTTGAAGTACAACACAGCATCATAAACTGACATGGGCTTTGATTAGGGAGAGAAGGCCGCATTTATGTCATAAGAGATTTTTTATTAATAAGAATTTGCTTGGAAATGTATTTTCACCAGGTGGTAGCAATCAATTCATTATATTGAAAATATTTGTTGCTTTAAAAATTAATGAAAAGGATATGCATAGTGAAATTAATTCTAGAGTATATGAACCTCCAAGTTGTCATCTGAAAACCAGTGAAGAAATGCATACAGGATCCAGACCCTGGGTAGCATTTCTGAGCCATCATGAAACATACTCACCTTTCCTATTCTGAGTACCAAGTTGGTGACGGCACCACTCTGTGGGGTGGGGCTGAGAGTAGCTGTGGTTATTCATGGGATTAATTACTTGACACTAGAATAGTTATTGTTTTTCTAACCTTTTATATGGATCCATTATTTATTGATGACCCAATTTGCCTTGACTCCGCTCACTTTTGAATGATGTTCTCTTTTCAGGCAAGCTTGTTTAATACCCACATTATCCAATCATCCCATCTCTTTTTTTCCCCACCTATGGCCTCCCATACCCTTCAGCTGGGCCCTTACCCCATTTTCTCTAAGGAGCTCCTAAAAAATATTTCTTATCTCATCATTAAATCTTTCCAAATGAATTATGAGAGGGAGAATGTTTTCCACCTAATCCCAGGTTTAGCCAGACTAAACAAGCAAGCAGTGCTCCTTTATGCCCTTCCCCATAGACACATAGTACAAATATTTGGTCAGATGCCTGTAAGTAATCCATGTTACTTGATATTATCTTAGATTTCCGGAGTCTTAGAGGAAGACACTTGGGAAAATCTGGGGACCAATCATCAAGCTTTCCCTTGAAATATCCTGGGTTGAGGAACTCATTGTCTCTGGGCAGTCCCCTTCAGTTTACTGCCATTGCTTATATTTGTCTGGATATACCTCTTTGGGAGCTCCACTTATCAATTGTAGCATTATTCTCTGGGGCCAAGATCACTAGTTCTTCCAGTATTTGAGTGCAGTCACCAATCCCCTTTAAATCTTCCCTTTTCTGGGCTAAAAATAATCTATTTCCACCCCTTTTTCTATGCTATGAATTTCAAATCTTAACTCTCTTTGTCTTGCCCTTCTGGACATACTAAAAAACATGAACCAAAGACACTAAGACAATATTGGGCATAGTATTGCCACTTCCTGGTTTAGTCAATTACACAACTCACAATGAACATACACACAGCTATTCAAGGGTATATTTTATGCTATACCCATGGGATGCAGGAAGGATACATCCTACTTCCTCATCTCCCCTTGAAAGCACAACTGAGAGGGGCACTTGACGGGATGAACACTGGGTGTTATACAATATGTTGGCAAATTGAACTCCAATAAAAAAATATTAAAAAAAAAGCACAACTAATGAGATCTGTAGAAGACTTCTCAGCCATTAATGTTCTATTAGCCAAGACAGATAGGAACAGGGTTTATCTCTACTCACTCTCCACCCAAACAAACACATGATATGGAAGCTGTTTCAGGTCATAGCTAGTATTCAGGATCATTATTATTAATTTTTAATGTATAGATAGGTCACTAGAGGAAAAACAAGTCGCAACTTAAAAGATTTTAAATTTCTTGTCACATTTCACGACTTGCAGTGACCCTGTCTGCTGAACAGTTTTGCTGAATAAAAATAGCTTATCGCGGAAGACCAATGGAAAGAGAAGTAGAGTGCCTGCTGAATACTGGCATGGTGACTCTAGGCACAACTGGAATTCTGCGGTGAGGACTGTGCTTATAAGGGGAATGTGTCAAGACACACTTTCAATCAACTCTGTCATTGACCACTATTTTCCTCTTGTCCTTGCCCAGACTGCTTTCCCTTCCCAACTGGAATTGGCTGGATTCTGGAGTCAAGGCCTATGCTTAAAAGAAGCCATCAGGAATAATCAAAGCAAAGAGCAGCTGGGGAATCACACTTATTATTTATTGACTTTGGGTTCAAGGTGAAAAAAGAATGTCTAGGTGGTATAGTCCTGTGTGGCTTATGGTACATGCTTCTTTTATTTATTCATTTGTTAACATTTATTGAACATCTACCATGTGCCATTGTATTAAAACTGGGCAGGTGGAAAACATGGAGTTGAAGGGAGAGCTGACCCTAAGAAAAAGACTAATTTAGAGAAAATCTTCTAGGATTAGAATTTCTTGACTTATCCCAACATGTACATGTACAGGGTATGAAAGATTTCTGTATTGTGGTAGAGTGATTTGGAAATATTCCTCACCAGTCTGTGAGGTGTTATTTTTGGAATTTGAAGAGGAAAAGCAAACCGACAGCGCTTCCTTATGACAGTGTACGTTAATGCAGCTCTCTCTCTCTTTTTTTTTTTTTTTCTGCGACTGGTAGAATTCTTGGTTATCTTTTTGTCTGGTAGTGAACAGCTTCATAACTCAGGCAGCCCTGGGGTATTGGTCCAATAGGACGGGCGTATTTCAAAGCCCAGAAAGATGAGATATATCAGAACTGCACAAGCAGCATTAAAGATGAGTTTCAGTTCAATTATAAACCAGCTATAAAATAATTCGCTTTTGTTGGGAAGAGTTTAAAGAGACAAATGAATGAAGGAGGCTAAGTTTCCTTAAATGATCTAATACGCATACAAAGTCACAATTATGTCCAACTTGTACATAAGTTACAGTGAAAGGTGGTATTTTAAGCTCTTTTAAGGGTGGCATTAATTGCAGTTGAGGAGTGAGAAACAAATCTGTTTTTGAAAAAATTCCTTATAAGAGAAGAAATGAAATAGTCTCTTACCACCCCTGGGACAGTTGCACACTTTGTCACCAAATCCTCCACTCCAATTTAGAATACCATGGCATTATTTATAAGTAACTACCATCAGAAGAACTAAAAATTCCTGTATTTCAAATAGATACAACAGATTCCAAAGGACTAATCTGCTCCCCAGAGTGTCAACTGCAAAACATATTCCCCAGAACCAAATATAGGGTCTGGATTAAATTCAGTACTATGGGAAAATTCAAGAAATTCCCTGGGGTATCATGCATGTTGTCAAAATTAAAAGGAACAGACTATCTCTCTTTTCTGGGCTCTGAAAACTATCACACCTCTCACTTTGGATTTTGTAAAATCTACCCAAATTTGTTCAGGTATGATTTACCTACCTTGAGGATTTTGTCCTGGGAACGCACATTCTTCTAACTAAGTAATGTTTTGGGAGCTCTGATGCTCTGAATTAAGAAAAATAAAGCAGAGGCATAGGAAAAATGATCTCCAGTGGATGATATACTCTTCCCTATACAATCCTTTATCAATAATTTCCTATTAGTGTTGAATTCTCAGTATCATAAGCAGAGCTCTAAGACCTATTAAGACCCTTGCACAAGGCAGAGGTGTCTATGCCTGTTCATAGCATTTTCTGAAACAGTTAACAGATTTCAGCAGTAATTTTGAAGAGAGAAACCATACAAGAAAAGCAGGGGTACAAGTTGAAAAGAACTTGGAG